TAACCACTTGAAGGCGTCAAAGCTTTCTGTCTGCAAGCTCAATAGGACAATCAGGCAAGGCTCTGGCATTCAAGAGGTTTGAATGGGAATTTAGAGTGGCAAGCAGCATGTCCACATCTTCGAGCAACGGAATCCACGCTTCCTGGTTGGTTTATCACACCTGAATGATGTTTTGTAGGGTTGTTCCAAGACTCCTAGGTCTTACATACTGTGAACATCTTCGCCGTGGGCAAACCCACAGCTTTGCACATACCCAAAACATCAGTATCAAGAAAGCATGGTTGGAGTAGGTTGGAGTTCTCTTCTTAAACCCTGAGAACTGTGCGTCTAAATGCGCAACACGCAGGTGCACCCAGCGAACTCTATCTAGAAAGGAACACAAGCTAGCTCCACGTCAAGGACAAACTCTGGCAAGCCAAACAAAATCAATGCTCTTCTCAAGAACACAAGTCTTTTCAAAGCACGAGACTGGAAAAAACTTGAAAGAAAATGCTGCATGCGTGCCTCTACAAGGTCCAGCGCACTCAATTCAGCTTCCTCACCTTCTCTCTTGGATGCCTGGAGCCATGTGTACACTTCTAGCATCCAACCTACTAGCGATGGCCTCCAACCTACTAGCGATGGCCTCCAGCCTACTAGAAAACGTCAAACCCACGTTTGGATCAAAGAAGTGGACGCCAATAGTGAATGCCCCAAAAAGCCACGAGAGTGTTTTGCCAAGACCTCGCTACCATGTCCTTGCTCACACCCAAAAAGGCTCATATAACCAAGGTTATTTTATCATATATATATATATAAGTGTCCATCTTTTGTGCTGAACACTATATGTATATATATATATATACATGTATTGCACACCCTATATAATATACAGCTTAATCAGCCAGGGGTTTACCCGAGTGCAATGCAAAGCAATGGTTGGTGCATCTCTCAATTCACACCAACAAGCCTTTTAACTCTTTCAAGAAACACATATCCAAGAAGCTGTCAAGCTTCCTGAAGTAAAAACACCTGCCAAAGCATGCCAGGTTCACACACAGCAACATTCCCTCGGAGGCCTTGGTCCGTCGCCGGGTCAATTTGCAAAAAGCACCATAGAAATGCCGATGCAATGCATCCAGCCAGGCAGCCAGCCTCCCGATCCTCGGGGCTCCGCACCGTTCCCGCCATCTTCCGCGCCTTGAGGTTCGACCTCGAGGTTCGTTGGTGTCCGGTACTCCGGAGTTGCTCATCACAACTGCTGCGCGTCACGCCCATTCCGTTCGCCAAAGAGCTGAGGCCCCCCAGCACTATGACCACTTTTCTGCCAACCACCTGATCAGGCTCGAAGAACCTCAGCACACTCCAAAAATCTTCAACGGTATCTTTCAAGCAGGTCTAGGCACACTCCTGAAGGACACGGCCTTGCCCATACCATACCATGCATACAAAAGATGGAAAGCGCAGTGAAAACACTGTGCCTGTCCATGGCACGCCGTCTATAAAGGCCCTGGCTTGCCAATGCCGGAGCAGATCTGACGAGGTGCCTAGACCCAAAGCACTCCAAGTCGACGAGGACAGGGCGGGGCTCCAATCTACTGTACCTCTGGTCGAGTCTACTTGCTATGCTTTCTTCGGCATCACTCAAAGTGCCAAGTGAATACGAACTTTCCAGTGATCACTCAATGTCTGGCAGCTGGCAAGTGCTGCTCCTGGAACCGATTGGACCCAACAGCCTAAATGAGGAAAAACTGATCAGCTCGAAGACAGAGCAATTCGTCAGCCAGCATGAACTGCTTTTGGGCTTTTGAAAGCACGACTAGGGCAAAGTTGGCGCGGCTTCGGGAAATCCAGGCATCTCCGGACAACACTTTCTCAATAGCAGACCATGCAGACCATGCAAACCCTACATTGCCCACAAGGGCTGTCTCACATTTTCACCCCTTAGCCAAACATTCTCACGCCACAAAGCCTCTTCTCCGATGTCAATCTGCTCAACCAAGAGCTTGTCTGACTCCGGATGCTTCTCGCAACTGCCAGTGAGTGGTGAGGCCAAGGATTTTCGGGCGGAGCAAGAAATATGTTCACCATATCATTCGGGATCTACTTGTCAAGACAAACAGCTTCGCGTTTCCTCAATGTTCTTCATCAGTAGTTCTTTTGGTGCTCTGCCAAGACATACCATCCAAGCAAAAAGGTTAAAAAAAATGCATGAAAATGCATGTTCCAGCGGCTTGACCCAACTCCGTCATACTATGTACTTGCTTCGCTTCTTCCTGCTTTGGTCACTCATGTTATCCCAAAGCCTCTTGATCTCACCAACTCGAAAATCGATTTGCGAAATATCGCTTTGGCCTGGCAAAGCAGCCAATGAGACAACAAGCAAGACATGAAGCGAGCATACATATATCCGACAAACTCACTTGCGAAGTAAAATCACCACTCCAATCAACAAAATTGAAGGTCAAGTTTTGGCATTAAGACCTTGCATATCAAGTGTTGATTCCATCAGCTGTTTGTCTCAGCTCAACACCAAGGTGATCGATCCAACTATGTATATGCATATATAATATATACACACTCAATCTTGCGAGTTTGGCAGCATGTACACAGACTCAGGCCTTTTCTTCTCACAGACAGGCCACGACTTGTGAGCACCCTGGCAGTTACGGACACTCAACCACAGGAATATGTGCAGCTGAAGTGGCTTTCTCATGCCATTTCATCATTCAATCAGCAACACATCCGGATGAGACACTTACAATCTTTATAATCTGTCCGCAAAGACCATGCATCAACCAACGAATGCCGCGCAGCCCGGTGCGGGCCCCTGCAGCCTGGCTCCTGCAAGAATTGCCAAACATCCTTTCAGGCTCCAAGTGCCAGCGCCAGCGCCTGGAGCACTTTGGGCCTGAGCTCGGAAGGCGCGAAGACCAACGGGCTGGACTGGAAGCGATGGTATCAGGATCTTTGGAAGCTTCGAAAGCGGAACAGGCGTTTCGGTCAAAGCTTGGTAGACGCATATCTTTCTGAAGCGGATCAGGTGGGAAACTACCCCAAGGTGTCTAGTAGAATCGTAGAAGTTATCAAACGTAACGGCAGGACCAGCTCTGCTTTTCCTGTCCACGTTTCTTGCACACAGCTGCTTCAAAAGGGCAGCAGCGGCACTGGCACCCTGGGCTCACTCACAAGGTCCACAGATTGCTTCAGGTTTCGGACATGAGGGTTCTCATAGGGTCCCGGGTAAATATAGTCAAACAACTTGCCCAACAAGGGTCCAAATGTTGTGTCATTGGTGCTGTTGTTCAACCACGGTTAAGACCATGGCACCTAAACAATGCAACGAGCAACTTGCTCTAAACACAAACATCAAGAGCGGCACAAAAATTGAAACGAAAACAAGTGCCATTCCGGCCATGTGGCATCTCAGGACGCATTTGCCACTTAGCTACCTGAAACACGGCGTATCCTTTTGACTGACAAATGCAAAATCAAGCAAAAACGCCTTCAACAAAACTTCAAAACCATTTGTCCAAGTTTGTTCAAAGTACATTCTGCTGAGTCTTCTTATTGTGCATGAGGCTACATGGCTCAGCGTGGAAGGTGCGCCTGAGGTCCAAGGTTCCCGAGAAAGCCAAGATAACACTGCCTGCAGTGGATGAGGTGGCGAAGTAGTTTCAATACCAAACATGTTTCCAAGTATGACCCTGATGTCAGTTATAGGTTATGAGTTCCACCCAAGGTGCTACAAAGAGCTTGACTCTATAGAAACTGATGACAGGGCAAACAGGACAACAGTTGCTCTTTCGGAGGACCGCCTTGTTCACGGCCTGCGGGTTCTCGTCATGGGGCAAATGACCACCTGCATGATGCAAGCCCATTTAGAAAAACGAAAGCTATTCGTTGGCTTGAACGAGAGATGGGGGTTTTCACGTTGTATCATTGGACCAATTCTCCGGCCGTGTCCAAGCTGAGCCACCTGAAATGATCTCGAAGTCGATGGTCTTTCGCTCCTGGCAAGTCAAAACCATAGTTTTCTCCACATGTGGCATGAAAGTCATGAAACTCTGCCGAGTGGGTCACACGGAAATCCTGTGGAAATCGGATGTTGGAGACCTAACTTGGAATGTTTTGCCACAAAAACAACGAAATGAGGGATGGAAAGAACCAGGTTGATGGAAAAGGATACACACACCACCCTCCAGGCCGTCCAGGCCCCGTATTCCACAGGCGCTCATTCCACAAGAAAGGAACAGACCCTTTCCTTAACTTTCGTTCGCTGGGAGTGGAACTGGATCTGGATGACAGTCAGGTTCAAATTCACGGGATGACAGTGCGAAAGAAATCTTGCTGCAGAGGTTGGCTCAATGATTTTTGCAAGTTGATAGTTGCGAAGCGGTTGGTAGTTGCGAAGCAGTTGGTAGTTGGACCCAATAGTCCAAACTTTGAGAAACGCTTGTCCGCTTGTCGCCTGCGAGCGCTTCATTTGGATATGTCCGGCTGCTTTGGGTTTCCAACAGGTGGTCTATACAGCGGTTGGAGTTCCCAGAACTAACATTGCAGCCAATCCGTGCTGTTTCGAGTCAACAGGATCAATACCAGCACTACATATGTGTCCTGCACGGGTCATTGCCGAGGCAGGTCGAAAACTGTAGAGATATCGAGTCACACATGTCTGCAACGCGCGATCTTCTCATCCGAGTGTTCACATGTCTCGTGTCACCAAAAAGAAACAGGTAGCTATATAGCTGCTTTCAATGGTAGCTATCTGCTTGTAAGGCCCTAAGCATGAAACTCCTGATCAAGTCCCAGGTTGCAAGGGTTGCTACTCCGTCACTGTTCGTTAATCTCAAATAAGAATATTCGGGAAAGGTCTGCCTGCACCAAACACTAGCAAACCCTGTGGCTGGCAGCAAAGGTGACACACATACCTTGTATTCCTGATTGCAGGAAAAAGAATCCTCAGCCATATCCAGCCCATTCCCTCTGTACTATGACGATCTCAATTGAATGCAGCTGCGGCAAACACAGGGTAGCACCATCCCTCGACCACACACTTGGAAGCCTTCTTAGCTGAACGATGAGGTCAACAAAGCTTGCGGCATCACTCCCAACTCTTTTCCCACCTTGGCAAGCTCCGTGAAAAAGCTGCCCACGTCTCCTTGCGCGCTAGGGGTTGAAAAAAATATTCCCCTGACTGCAATCTGCCGACCCAACATGCCTGCTGGCAGCTGAAGTGCCCTTAGCAAGGATCAAAGAAAGAGTCTAGATCTGGTGCAAAGCAAGCATCTTGGATGATATTGCTCAAATGGCGGAGGTTTACAGTTTATAGTGATGTTATGTTTGTCTATGCCGGCTCGTTCAGCAAGTTGAAGTGCAATAAGCATACTCAGTATGCAATTGCCAAAACACTGCCCCGAGCCCATCTGAGGTCCTTTGATGGGCGTCAAGTTGTCTTGATCACCCCATATCACCTGGCCGATGGCAGCCGTCATGAACGGGTTTCGGCTTTCTCTGAGGAACCGTGTTACATTCAGAGAGCATCTCTCCAATGGTGTGAGAACGCAGCAGCGACGCAGCGAGGCCTTCAGCGGGAGATCGCTAGGAAATCCCTTGGCAAAGAGCTCCATGGGCGTCCTCAGGCGACACGTGAGGACAATTCTCAGGGGTGGCATGAGCAAGTTTCAACGATCAGAACGTCTTCCGTCTTCCATTCTGAATTCTTCATCCTTCTTTCTTCCGAATCGTTTGGACCAGTGACGGGCCCGGATCTCCGGTGTAGATCTGACGCAAGACCTCAAGTGCTCCAGGTGTTCCAGCAGGTCTCACCTTACGACGAACCGCCAGAAACGAGCCGCGAAAACCGCCAGAGAAGACCGCGAAAACCGTGTGCTGAGTTTACTCTTGCTTTCCAGAGCTTAGAGTTTGCACAGTCCCATAGCCTCATAGATCTCCTTCTCGAGCAGAATTCTCTCGTATGTAACAAACTTCAACGAACCAACATACTTGCAGGAACCCACAGCTATATCAGCCTCTACGCTATATTCTGACATGGCACAAATCCTTCTGCCAGCTCATCATCCACTGCAGAAGGGTTCGTAGGATATAAGTTTTTGAGCACAGCGGCGACCTCGCAGCAGAGGAATCTTGGAATCTGTCCGTGATATTCGTGGAGCAAAAATATGGTTCCAAAATGTTCAAAATATTAGCAATATTAATCTAGAAATTCCCCTCACATGCGAAAGTCATGTGGGTTGAAGTTATTGTTGTGTTCACTTCCACTTCCAACAAATGGGTTGGCATGGGTGGTGTCGTCACCAGGATCCCTCATTTAAACATTTGTTGCCGAGCATGAACCAGTGAAATGACTTAAAGGAGGGTGATGGCAAAGTATGACAGGGCTCATGAAATCTCAAATCTATCCTGGCCTGCTCTTTTGTTGCAAAAGACTCAAAGGCCATGTCCAGGATTGGCGATCGAAAAATCAGATCCTCAGGTCCAAGAAAGCGAATGCGTCGTGTTGGTCAGTGGCCCGCGTCGTGTTGGATCTTGCAGTGTTCTTTCGAGCATTATTTGCGAAAAAACAATGCACTTTACAAAACCCAAGTTCTGCCTCTGGATGAGCGGTGACTGGCGAGCTGCTACTTCTGACTCTCCACAAAAACAACGCTTGCCTTACAGTAAATCGATGTCAACAACTTCATGAAAATGCATCATCTTAGGTCGAGGTGCCACCAGGCCCAAAATCAGTGTGGCGACCAGTCTTTGCAAATCATTCATCTTGGGCGACTTGACCCTCAGACCGACCAACGACTTCGCAAGAACGAAATCCATAGTGCCTACTCAGACCTTCTAGTGATTCCACTCTGGAGCCCGGGAGTCCCACCGGTCCAGAGTCTGGACTGTACTTCCTTGAATCTCCAGTTCCCTTTGGCCTTTGGCCCTGCGACTGATCCCATGAACCTGTGCTTACCAACGGCCTATTGAGCAGAAAATTACAGCGGGAAGGAGGATGAAAAGAAAACAAAAAAAGGATCAAAAACAACATAGACCCAAAAGGGCAATTAAAAGCTAACAGTGATCTTGAAAATTAGCGATGCTGAAAAAACACAAAGGACAATCGAGGATCAAACTCAAAACAAATAAGGACAAAAAAGTAGAAGTAGAAGTAGGAGTAGGAGTAGGAGTAGGAGTGGTAGTAGTAGTGGTAGTAGTAGTAGTAGTCGTCGTCGTCGTCGTAGTAGTCGCAGTAGTCGTAGTAGTCGTAGTAGTAGTAGTAGTAGTCGTAGTAGTCGTAGTAGTCGCAGTATTCGTAGTAGTAGTAGTAGTAGTAGGAGTAGTAGCAGTAGCAGTAGCAGTAGGAGTAGTAGGAGCAGCAGTAGGAGTAGGAGTAGGAGTAGGAGTATGAGTAGTAGTAGTAGTAGTAGTAGTAGTTCTTGCTTTCTTTCTTTGTCTTTCTGTTCAGTTCTGTTCTGCTCGGTTCTCTTTCTCTTTCTTTCTCTTTCTCTTTATTTATCTTTCTCTCTAGTTCTCTTTCTTTCTCTTTCTCTGTCTTTATTTCTTTCTTTATTTATGTTTCTTTCTCTTTCTGTCTTTTTTTCTTTATTTTTTCTTTCTGTATCTTTATTTCTGTCTTTTCTTTATTTCATTCATTCATTATTTTATTTATCTATATCTTTCTATCTTTCTCTCTTTCATTCTTTCTGTCTTTCTTTCTTTCCGTCTTTCTTTCTTTACGGTTCTTTCTTTTTCTTTCGTTCTTTCTTCCTTCCTTCTTTACGTTTCTTTATTTTTCTTTCGTCCTTCCTTCCTTCCTTGCTTGCTTGCTTGCTTGCTTGCTTTCTTTATTTATTTCTTTCTTTAATTATTTCTTTCTTTATTTCTTTCTTTATTTCTTTCTTTCTTTCTTTTTTTCTTTATTTATTTCTTTATTTCTATATTTATTTCTTTCGTTCTTTCTTTCTTTCGTTCTTTCGTTCTTTCTTTCTTTCGTTCTTTCGTTCTTTCGTTCTTTCGTTCTTTCTTTCTTTCTTTATTTCTCTCTCTCTCTCTCTCTCGTTCTTTCTTTGTGTCATTTCTTCCTTCTATTTTTTATTTCTGACCCCTATTCGTTTTTAGTTGATCCCTATTTACCTTTTTTGATCCCTCTCCCATTGCAACGGGTGATCCTGACTCCTGAAAGGCATTGGTGTCAGACTTGAACTCACACAAGTAGACCATGCATGGCTACTCTCTGGATCACTTCAAGGCAAGCATCATGTTCTTGTTGTTCATGCCCACTGCGCAATTCAGCATGACAATCCTCACATGTGACTGCAGTCATCAAATCCAATCCCAACCCACACCACCCAAACAACATTGCCCCTGACACAATGCTTTCCAAGGTTAGTACGTCAGTACGTCACACTATTTTTGGCCAAAAACGCACTATTTATCAAACATTTGGCGGTCTGACAGTGAAATTGCGTCCACTTGCACCGAGAAGCCCCTTGGGGCGTCGCTGCGTGGCGGAGACCAAGGAAATCAGGCTACCAAAGGAGTTACCCACCAAGACCACCTCAGCAGACACAAACAGCCTTCCGTTTCGCAATTGTTTGAAGCCAACCTCCAAAGCGCCCCCCGCCCACATCTGTATGATCTCCCCCTTGACTCACAATGGGCGTTCGTTTGAACATACACTAGCCACTTGAAGAAACGTCAACAACCTATGGGCCTATGGTTTTTGGACTGTCCAATGGTGGGACCCAGCTCTTGAGATCCATATTGTCTCTTTCTTTGGTGCTGTATTGTGGTATCTGCCGAAGCTACACAACCACCGCAAGAAGAGAAACTAAATTGGAAAGCTCCACTCACCATGATTAACAAAAACCTCGTGCGGTCCAGCAGTTCAGGGCAAAAAATCTACACCTGGTTTGATGGTTTCTCAAAGAATAAAGCCGAAGCTAAGGGTGGCCAACTCAGGGATTCGTTCTTGAGCTTTGCAGCCATGGTGCATCCTTCTCCAACTTCGAAACAAAGTCAGTGACCTTCACCATACGAATGAGCCAAACGGAAACATACGTGATGTTTGGACTGAGGAGGAGCATATCTTCAGACAGTCCACTTGAAAAGAAGCTGCAAATTGTGATCTTGGCTGAAGAACCTTTGGACCGCTTCGGCACATGCCCATAATCTACATCACTGTGGGAATATGTCCATATCTCATTACCAGTTATTGGAGATTCTCGAAGGTTCCCAACAGCACCCTCGTCTTCGCCTGCTCAGCCCAGAGTTCAATGCTGTACTCTGTGGACGGTTTCTCAGATAGGCCCAGCCTCCGATCCGATGCTGCAAATGAGCACATGGGCTGCAAAAAAACATGAGAACTACCTAGCTGAACAAGGCCCTTACGAACGTTGTGCAAACCCTTTTTCAAGAAGCCCTGCACTAGCCCACTTGCCCATGACCACTTTCAATCGACTTTCGCACAAAGCTCCTGTGGTCTCACCTGAGGTTCTACCTAGATAATGTCTGTACTGATTTCTGAGAGGTCCACAGCTTCCAAGAAAGTGTTTGATAGCAGCTAAAGAAATCTGCACAGCAAAGTGTCCAGCTTGGATCCCCAACCCCAAGAGGTCAAAGGCATGGACAGTGTAGCCCTCTGCCGACAATGCTGGGATCAACCGTCGCCAATACTCGATTGAGCCGCCGAATCCTGCAACTTGCGAGACCATCACAACCTTCGCAACCTCTAGATGGAAACGCCCAATAATCTCAAAGCTGCATGCATTCATAACACACTGATCCATACGCTTCTGACTCGTCCGATGAGCTTCTGAAGCTTCTAGTCTTCTCATCGAAGAGTGCCAGTCCAATTGCTTTGACACCAAACTGACCCCGGTCGCTCCATGCACCAGCACAATGTCTGGCTTTGAGACACTGCCGGCGCATGTCACGCAGCGAACACGGTGGCCCTGGCAGCGACATGTCCCACATACTCTCTAACCTGGATACATCTGGTCGGGTGCATAGACTTGACGCTGCGGTCTGACACGTCAACGTCAAACCCTTCATCCAGGTCCCTGAGTCTTTACAGCTAATTTGTCCGATATGAATGTCCAAGCATGGCCTTTACCCAAACACTAGGCCAGCGCGTGTGATTTCGCTGCTGACACTTTAGAGGACAGTCGTCCAGAGAGCCACTTCAGTGCAGCAAGCCTTGAAATCCACCTCCACTTCCTTTCCAGCAGGTAGGCTTCGTCGACAAAGCCGGCACCTCTCCTGCACTGCGGAGGGTAGTTAACAAGGCGAAAGCAAGAGAGATCAAAGCAAGGCAGGAGAAAGTCATGGCAACCATATAGCAAGAAATCATCCATATCCTGTTCTTCTTCCGTGATGTAGAAGCACCGTCTTGCATCAACCAATTGCAGGATTGAACATCAGACACAAGCCAACGAAACGGTAAAATCTGAAGAAAAAAGATGCAAAACTAAATGCCTACCAGGGTCCCTGTATGTCCTGGAAACTGAGCATCGAAATCGAAACGTCTTGGCGTGTTTTGGGATGCGTGAAGGGCGCTTCGGGGGGCGGGGTCGAAGTTGTAAGAGGTCTCGCCAGGTTGAGGTAGCTTGAGCACGGCAAGCTAATAAGTTGCCTTGAACCAATGAAATGGTTCTGGCATTACTTAGGAAACAATGGCATTGTGTCTGGCTTGCTGGGAACTGCTGTCTTCAAGCACAAGTCTGATCGACAAAGGACCTTGTTGCTTCTTATATAATTCCCAAACAGCCACTGCAACAACAAGAAAAGCATTTGCAATTGCGACAAATGAGTTTCCAAATAGAATACCAAAGCCGACCAAAACCCAACCAGCTCTGCTGAGATCCTGATTCCTCCGGCTGCCAAGCACTCCTGATGGTCGCGATTCAATTCAGTCACACGCAACAACGGTATTGGCCAAACAAGCTTGGGATAGCACTTGAAATTAGATTAGACAGAAATGTCCATGTCCTGACCCAACCCCATATGAATATGTATATATATATAGAACCCACAGGTCAAAAAGAAAGCACCTATCACCAAAGCTCTCTCCTACTTAGAACATCGTCCACAATCTGAGGTGAGAACCGCCAACCCCAAAGCTCCAAAGCAAAGGCCATGGACACCTCAGCTTGTGTTTGGAGAGCTTGTCAGACTCTCTCAAACCACGATCATTCCACACCCAAAGGTCAACTTCAGCAAAGTGGTCCCCCTTCACAAGCAATGACTTCTTGGCTTGTTAGCATGTCGGGTATGGGCATCCAGAGCCTTGTCGGCAAAGTGGAGCCGCAGCGCAAAGGTGCAACCTGCCATTGCATGGAAACACAGGTTCAGGAAAAGGGCACTCTTGTCGAGGTTGCTGAACAGTACTCTTGTCAATGATCAGTTTATACTTTAAGGAATGCTAAATTTTTGTTCAAGACATGTTTCCACCACTCTGGCGCACCAAGGATCTCATCACAACGTCATCGAACCACTCCTGTCACCGGTCAGAGGGCCCAACCGGCTGCGCAGGCTGCGCTGTGCGAATGGCCGCACCATGGCCGAACCAAACTCCGGGGGAGAGAATCATGGTGTAAGGCTCCAAGCTGGGCAACAAAAAGCTGTGGCAATGGCATAATGGCAAAGTCTTGGCTCACCTGCTCGGGTGGCTTTCCAACGCAAGTCTTGCATAGGAGTTTTTTGCTTAACTTCACAATGTATTTGCACGTCAAAGGGTGAGTCAAAACATTTTATCTATGTTAAGAATGCTTTAGCCTTCATTCGCTTTATTACTCTTGTGAAGATTCACGGCACATTCGGTGACCCAAGACATGAATTTCAAGCGTGCAACGAGGCATTGTTGCTTGCTAATAAACGTTTTGCTTGAACCATTGGAGCACACCAGCACAACCACAAACTTCGAAGTATCTCTACAAGCCACGAAAGGTATTACAACTTCCGTCTGTTCCGGAATCTCTGTGACAGTCTAATGATCAGTCACAAAGACACATAACATAGAGCTTGCTTGTAGTGATCTGTACGTAGAAACCATTGTCTAAAAGGGTGGTAGACCAAAACAAAGTGAATGTACGAAAAGTTGCACTCCCCAGTTCGAGGAGGATCAACATGTTGGCATAGCTTGAGAACTTGTTAAACAATGATTTATTGTCTAATTATATATATATATGTAGTTGTTTCTGGCATTGGACGTCTATGCAGAATCCAAGCTGCACCATGCTGCACCCAACAAATTGAAACAATGACATCCGGTTGCCTACTTATCCTCTTTACTAACCTACCTATCCTCTGCTCTTGCTCCGTTCCCAAGGCGCCCGGCTCGGAGCTTCACGGGTCCCGGCTCGGTGTTGACCTTCTGGGTGATGTGACGACCCGGCGGAGGCGCCAAGTGTCAAACATGAGTGCGACAATGTCAATCGTTTGGTTGGATTGAATGGTAGGTATGTGGGGATCCCTGAAAAACATTAAGGAGGTGCTAAAGAAAGAGCCATGACACTACTGACTACAGCCTGGCAAAGAATGTCCCAGATGGAAGTAGTGGAAAAGCGAGGACATCGGGTGCTTCATCCAAAGACCAAAAACGTGTCGATTGAAAAGCAAATCCTGATGCAAAATCTTCACACCTTCAAGGCAAAGCTATGCAAGAAGAAAAGGAAAAGTCAAAGTAAGGCTAGGACTCTTCAAGAAAAAAACAATGAAAACATGGGCAAACCTCCCCTCCACAAATCTTCAATTTCATCCTGTCGTGCATTGATCAGGAAAACCCAATGATCTTTAATGTGCCAAGCGATTGGGTATCCACCAACGATGGCATGACCATTCTAGCGACCAGGTCACCAGGTCGTCTATTACAGGACCATCCTGACGACTGACGCCTTAGGTTCCAGACGACCGATGCGGCAGGCACAGCACTGATGAAAGCCTGTCCTCACGTGAAAGCGACTCCTTGAGGTCAACGCAAAGTCTTAACCAAATCCCAATGTCGCTTGGTTAACAAAATTGACACTTGTCTTTTGCATAGAATGTGAGACAATACACAGGAATCTCAAGTTGTATGGCTCGAAATGTCCAGCGGGATGAAGAGAAGAGGTTTGCAAAGGTAAAAACAATGCATCTAAAGTCGACAATCCAACACCTTTCCAACCATACACTTGGCAAATATCTGCAAACGATTGTTGCTACATTTGCTGCTACTTGCTGCTGCTGTCGTTGTTGGGACTCCCGTAAAGTTCCCCTGCATTGCCCTTACCCTACCAGCGTCGTGTTGTCTGGCTGTGTTTGCACTCCAGGTTGTGTTTGCAATTTGAATTTTTGCCTTGGGTAGTGTGCACAATGTGCCGTGTATCCTTTGGCTTTGTGCTGGTGGATCTACAAGCATGATGTTTGCTTGTAGGAAAATGTTTAAACTGGTGAAAGGTGGAACGCACGAACAGTGCAAGGCGCCCACAAAGATCGCAAAGACCAAGAAGGAACTTGATTTGCTGGCGATCTCAAGATTTCAGCAATAATGTTCAACTGAAACGTTAATTGAAGAAGAAGAGTATCCAGCGACTTGAAAAAGAATGGTGTTGTATTGATGCGAATGTTTGGTACCATATATCATATGCTAAGTACCTAAATTGCATCCATCACATTGATTTTCGGTTCTTTCTCCCTTTATTGTCACACAAAAGTACAGTAGAAAAACAGCATGTTCTGCCCTGAAAAAGTCAGTCTTACGACATGCACAAGCTTGACTTGTGGTGAATTTCACGGGCATGTTGACATACTTGTTTCCTCGTCACCAAATGGAGATGAACGACGAACAACAAATATTAGGCGACGTGAAACCACTTACGTTCCCTCACCTCTTCGCAGGCTCACAGCCACCAGCGACACTGCCTCATTGAGTTGAGAGCATTTCACGCGCATGCCCTGACACAAGAGTTTCAAAACAAAGGGTTGCTGATGCTTATGACTAACGCGGCAAAGTCCCGCCAAGTCTGTTGTGAGGTCTTTGGTGGAAAACAAATGCAAAAAAGGTTGACCATCGGAAAAAAGGAAATCAGCTCAGGAATCAGCAATCAGCACTGGTCTCCTGGAACCGACCTCAGGGTTAAACACAAATTTCAATTTAGTTGGTGTATTGTCCAGGCTGTGGCCAAGCCTAAGAGCGTTTTAGTATCCGACCTGGTTCATGCCGCAGTTTTCCTCCACCCGTAAAGACTTGAACCACACTTTGGGAATAACACGAAGTAAGTAGGCGCTGAAATACACAAAAAAACACATACACACATGACATGTTCACTGGATTGTAAAGCAACAAATTTGCACGACAGGTCCGCAATTTGCACTGACTCCACCAGGTCTGACAAAAACAACCCTCCGGGTCGGAAACAGAACGTGTGGTTGTGCACATATTTCAACATCAGAAAGCGTTCCCAAGCACAAAAACCCTATAAAAACCACATGTCTGGAGTCTCGGTTGTCATGGATGCATGGAACCTGACTGGTTTGCCTGGACAGCCCGGTGCTTTGCAGTAAAATCCACTCATGTCTTCTAAGTAGAGGGCATCGTTTGGATGCTCCAAAAACGAAAAAGTTCAAAAAACCCTAAGAACGGCCACGGAAAACTCGTGCGTTCGTGTGTTTTTTCAAGCCATGTCGGAGAGCTGCTTGGCACAGTCGAACATCATCATCAAGCCCTCCGAACCTGTGCTCATGAAACTTTAGACTGTCTAACGTCAAGATTTAACATATGGGTCAGAATGGCATCTACGGTCAAATTCTGTAATTTGTATGCACTTTTTGGTACTTTTGCGGCCGTTTTTTTTGCGGGTGGAGGCGCTGTGTGTGCCGAAAGGCACAAGTCACCTTGATTGAATTAAATAGGGTTACTGAGAAGATACGAGCCAGGAAGAAGAACAAGGCCCAACACAACCAAACCAAGCAACAAACACCGCAACAGCACCAACACACGCAAAACGAAACAAACCGGGCTTGTATCTCATCAGGACTGTCAGAGCCGAAGCGACTGTCTTGAAAGAGAGGTGAAGCGGGGCATTGAATTCATTCTGTCTGCGCTCAGTTCAAGAGGATCAGGAGGTAGCGAACTTCCTTTTGTTGGGCAGTGAGTACCAAGGTGACTATTTCAGTACCGACTAGTCGACCAGTCGACCAGAAGAGTGCTTGAGCATGTGCAGGAGTGAGGAACTTTGCAATCAGCGCACTGTGCAGAGGTGAATCATGACTTATGTCCAAGAGCACGACTTTACCACTGACAGATGCCGTTTATGGCAAGCAAGCCTCATCAGTCTGGCACATGGCTCCATCAGCATGCAGCAATTGACATCCTTCGAGCTCCGATTGCGTAATTTTTTATGCATTCCCCTGAGACAGGGAATGGTCGGTGCTGTTGGGACTCACGTGTTCAAAATCCCAATGAAAGACAGTGAAGCGCACACTAGCTAGAGCACGAGGGACTCTGCACAAAGGCTTTGACATGGGAGAGTGATGCTCAAAGGAGCCATTTGTCAAATTTACGAACGTCGTGACCTGCAGAGGACAAAGGACGGGACGAACCAAGACAATCGGTCTTCCCTCCTCGGCCCTCCCCCCCAAGCGGAAGGAGCGCTCCATGACATCAGTTCCAGAAAGGCGAACGGGAGCAACAGTACGAAGCGACATGACCTTGCATTGCCCTCAAGGAATATGGGCAGGCAGGACTCTGTTGACAGGCTCCCACAGGCTCAGCATCTCCGTATTTCAATTCGAGTGCTCTTGGATCCATGTACTGGGGAGGCCCTCTGTGGCGGGACCGGTTTTTGCTAAGGTTTTTG